CTCCACAACCTCCCTGGGGAGCCTGTTCCAGTGCTCTGGAACCCTGACAGTAAAGAAGTTCTTCCTCATGTTGAGGTGGAACTTCCTGTGCTCCATAAGCACACGGAAGGGACACATTTAATGGTTGTTTACACATCCCTTCCACCATTACTGTCCTCATAGGCTTAAATTCCTCTTGGCTAATTTCAACCACCCAAAAGTCAGGCATGCAACCCAAGGTCATGCATCCTGATGAGATATAAACACCCCTAAAGCACAGATCCTGCTCTCCAAAAATAGATGGGACAAACTGCTCTTTGGAACCTTCTCTCTCCATCAAGTACAGTCCTCCCTGAGCTACCAGCATCCTGAGCTTTCAAGGTGTTGCTCAGGTGAGCCAAATCCTGCCTTGCAACAGCAACCGTCACCCCCCATAATGCATTGGGAATGACTGGCTGAGGAGGAGCTGCAGAGAAAGGACCCTCAGGGTCATGTTGGTTGGTGAACTGGACACAAAGCAAACATTAACAATAAGGAACAGGCTGTCCAGGGCAGTGGTGGAGTCCCCATCCCTGGAGGGGTTTCCAAGCCGTGGAGATGAGGTGCTGAGGGACATGAGTTAGTGGTGGGTTTGGCAGTGTGAGGTTAATGGTTGGACTTGATGAGCTTAAAAAGTCTTTTCTAACCAAAATCACTCTAGGATTCTATGAATAGGTGCTCAGTAAAAGGGAGTTATCCTACAGGGATGCAGAAACAAGACCTTGGGTGGGAAATGTATGGAACCAGCCCTTCACTGAACTCCACGCTCACGAGTCTGGGAGCTGTGGTGTACTCCACAGTCCTTCAAGCCAGAACTTCACCAGGGAGATGGGCAGAGGAGATTGACAGGACCAGCATGACTCACAGACAAAAATCAAGGAGCTGGGTTTGTTATCCAATGGAAGAGGTGGGACAAGATAACAGTCTTCCAACACAGGAACCATAGCTGTGAAGAGGAGGAGGAGGAGGAGGTCTTCTTCATACCATGGTGGACAGGACTGCCTGCAAACAATGCAACGTTTCTGCTGCTGCCAGACAGGTTAAAACACCACCAGCAGGACAAGGTTTAGCTATAGAGCATTCTGCCAATGAGAAAGGGGTCTAGGTGACCTCTTGGGGTCAATTTTTCTCTTTTTTCTTTTTGCTACAGCACTAAACCCACCCACGTCCAGCCTGGAGAGCTGGCTGGGCCTGTTATCCAGGGATTCTGAGCCTTTAGTGCAGGATCACATGTCTCCCAGAACAGGGGATGCTAAGTAAAAGGGAGTTATCCTACAGGGATGCAGAAACAAGACCTTGGGTGGGAAATGTATGGAACCAGCCCTTCACTGAACTCCACGCTCACGAGTCTGGGAGCTGTGGTGTACTCCACAGTCCTTCAAGCCAGAACTTCACCAGGGAGGTGGGCAGAGGAGATTGACAGGACCAGCATGACTCACAGACAAAAATCAAGGAGCTGGGTTTGTTATCCAATGGAAGAGGTGGGACAAGATAACAGTCTTCCAACACAGGAACCATAGCTGTGAAGAGGAGGAGGAGGAGGAGGTCTTCTTCATACCATGGTGGACAGGACTGCCTGCAAACAATGCAACGTTTCTGCTGCTGCCAGACAGGTTAAAACACCACCAGCAGGACAAGGTTTAGCTATAGAGCATTCTGCCAATGAGAAAGGGGTGTAGGTGACCTCTTGGGGTCCTTCCCATCTTTATTTTTCTCTTTTTTCTTTTTGCTACAGCACTAAACCCACCCACGTCCAGCCTGGAGAGCTGGCTGGGCCTGTTATCCAGGGATTCTGAGCCTTTAGTGCAGGATCACATGTCTCCCAGAACAGGGGATGCTAAGAGCAGTGTTTTTTCAAATTGAGTTTCTGCTCTGGATGACTTCTGTCTTGGAAGCTGCCAAAACCTGGCCTCAATGTTATCGAGTATCACAGAATGGGTTGGGTGGGAAGGGACCTTTCAAGGCCATCTAGTTCCAACCTCCCTGCACTGAACAGGGACATCTTCAACCACAGCAGGTTGCTCAGAGCCCCATCCAACCTGGCCTTGAGCACACCCAGGGATGGAGCATCCACAGCTCCTCTGGGCAACCTGTTCCTGTGTGTCACCACCCTCACAGTGAAGAACTTCCTTCCAGCTCATCTCAATTGACCTCCTTCCAGTTTGAAGCCATTACCCCCTGTCCTATCACTACAAGCCCTTGTAAAAGGTTCCTTCCCAGCTTTCTTTTGGATCCCTTCCCTCTAGCATGTCAACCACACCACACAGCTTGGTGTCAACCCAAAGCAGCATCATGATCACCTGCACGACACCTCTTGAACTGGCTCCTAAGATGCAGATACATGTTTTCAAATCAACCTGGGCCACCAAAAATGCTCTGTAGATCAAGAGGAAAGTTTTATTTGCTTTTATCCAATCATTTTATAAGAGATATTATAGGAAGCCCAGAATGTCCATGGGTTTATGGGTAAATATTATACCTTTTCTCTAGCATTTTGAAACAATGAACACTCGTAAAAGGATCTTCTTCTTCTTAGATCTGGACATTCAGTGGTGTGATTCAGAGATAGCTGGAGCTCAGGTTCCTTTGTCCAGCTCTAAAGATCAAACAGTGAGTCACATGCAAACTGGTGACAGGTTTTAATATCACTTGTCAATAATTGATGTTTGCCAGGGAGCAGAATTATGCCTGGATTAACACAACCCCTGTACTCCTAAAGGAGACTGCACTTGCTCCTGCTAAGCATATTCCAGAAGAAGCACTTCCTGACCGATGCCTGGTCCAGGCTAAGGCAGTGCAAGAGGTCTTCAGGACTTCCCTCAGTCCTTACACAGACAAAAACATGCTGGAGACAATCCTGAATTCCAACAAGAGTCTCCACAACCTTGTTCTGCCCTTTAATGCGCTTGCTTTAGTCTCAGCACTAGAGAATGATCTCCATCAGAAGGCATCTCTGGAGGCATCTGGCCAGAGCTCTGCTTGAAGTAACACCGATTGGATAAGGTTGGTCAAGCCTCCTCCAGTCAAAGCTTGGACAAGGTAACCAAGCCCAGCTCCTTCAGCCTCCTCCCATGTGCCACCTGCTCTGGCTCCAGACCCTCCTTGTTGCCTCCACTGGAGCTGCTGCGGTCCCCCCGTGTCCCCCTTGCCCTAGGGAGCCCCAAATTGGACAGAGCAGTCTGGAGTAGTCTCCAGCAGCTAAATTATCCCTCTGACACAAACGGGAGTGTCAACAACTGTCACCTTCTGGTAGGTGTTGGGAGGAAGGTTGTTCCCACCTACCAGCCACACCTCCCGGTGGCAGACAGGCTTTATTGCTTCTCCTGCTATAAAATCAGAACAACTCATCAGGGACAAACCTCATTGTGTGAGAGTTGGGTTTGTTTTTTCACCTAGCAAACTTAATGAGAGAGTAAATTAAGGGCTTCCAAATAATTTTGCCACATTCAGAGCCGAGTGTAATTGCCCAGGGGCAACTTTAAAGCTGAGCTGTGAAGCTGCGCAGAGGTGACTTGTGTACGGTAATGGGACATACCAGAGTTTTCAAGTCCCTGCTGTCAAATCAGAAATTCAGAAAAAAGCTGGAGGCAACTCCCTGGAATAAAGCTGTGAGGACAGAAATAACGTGAAATGTGCAAGTGCAAATAAAATCTGTGGCTCATCTCGGGCTCACTCAGCATCTTCATGCCTCAACTGTTCTGTTCATCTGGTACCTGGTTTCGGTGCCCCGAGGCATCTGCTATTAAGACATCACCCAACTTAATCTAACCCGAAGTCTTCAGATGCCCCAACATTTGCTGCAGGAAAAAAAACTTCTCTGAAATATCTAATTATTTAGAAATGTGAGAATTTGGCTCTTTGGCGTCAGGTTTCTAAAGCATTTCAGATGCATCCTCTGTGCATCCTGGATAAAGAACATTTAGGAGAGGTAAAAATGATTTCCATCCTCCTGGAAATGAGCATTTCCAATCACACCTCTTGTGATCAGCCTCCACCATGAGGCTCTGGAGATACAGAGCAGGGATAGAGTCCCGAAAGAGGGAGATACACAACAGATCATTTGCTGGGTGAGGAACGAGACCAAAGAAAGATCAAACCAACAAGAAATGCTTCAACACGGAGACAGTTTGGTCACGGACTAGAGCTGAACGCCTACAAATCACCCTGCAAAACATTTCACCACGGCCACTTGAATATTTTCATTTGAACCCATTAAATCTGAAAGAAACCACTGTCACTGAAATCAGTGTAAGAAATCGATGTCTGGATCGATGTAAGAATACATCAAATCAATCACAGAAAACCAATTATTCAAATTAATGTGAGAAAGTTGATTTTTTTTCCCTAAAATATTTAGATGACCAAAGCTTTCAACAAAGCATTGAGAGAAGTATTTGAGCACTGTCTTTTACTGTATGCTCAGCCTTGACCAAGACGTCCCTTCCTGTCACCTTGCTGCATTATCTTCTTTGGAGTCTATCATAGAACAATAGAAAGGTTTGGGTTGGAAGGGACCTTCAGGATCATCTAGTTCAACGCCTTGCCATAGGCAGGGACACCTCCCACCAGGTTGCTCAGAGCTCATCCAGCCTGGCCTTGAGCACCTCCAGGAATGGGCCACCTACAACTTCTCTGGACAGCTTGTTCCAGTGTGGTTCAACCTCACAGTGAAGAATTTCTTCCTCATTTCTAATCCAAACCTACCCTTTTTCACACCACATCCACAACAATGAAGCTCCCTGATCCTGGGTGAAATATAAATCCTGATCTAAAACCCGGAGATTGATAAATAGAGAACAACAAACCCAAACTCTTCTTCCAACCCTCAAGCATCTCAAAACACCTTCTCCACCTTGCTCCTGAACAGCTCCTACCGCGGTGTCTCTACACATGGTCACAAACTGAAGCAAGAGAACATCACTGAACCCCAACAGAGTGTGGGGCCACCAAAGGAGGAGGGAGGGGGGCTGCTGGAGGCCCACCTGTTTTGTTGGAGAGTCGGAAGGACACCATCTTGTCAGGGATGCTGCAGACATTCCTCACCGAGGCGATGCAGCTGTAGTTGGCATAGTCCTGAGGTCGGAGGTTCTTCAGCTTCAGGATCTTTGTTTCTCCCTGGGCGTGCAAGAGAGAGCGTTAGGGAAGGACCAAGGCAACAACCAGGGACGCAGGAGACACCAAAGCTGGTTTGCAGGAGCTGAGATGCTCAACGTGGCTTTTCAGATGGCCAAGAAAACATCTTTTATTCAATTCCCTGAAAGAATGGCAGCTGAGAGAACCTACAACTGCAGCCCCATTTCTATACTCACCCCAAATAAGAGCAGCAAGGGTGAAATTGCTTTGACAGAGTGTTTAAGTCTCAGTATTATTTGGGATAATATGTATTAAGGTACAAGGATGAAAAAAAAATAATCATAAGGTACAGAAATCCTGCTGTTTTCCCTTGAAAATGGGTTTTATTTTTAGCCAGGGATGTAAATGATGGAGCAGAGACCTGCACGGGGTGTGTAATGAAGGTGTTCCTTCAGGCACAGCTGAGAGGAACATGGAAAAGATTAGATTTCCACCCCAGAACTGGGAAAGGTGAGATGTCCACTGCAGTGCTATGTGAAAGAGGCACCAGAGGAGAAGAAAATTGGGAGGAAAAGCACGGTGCTGAGATGGGTGTGGGAAACCCTTAAAGTAGTGTTAGCAAGAAGAGGAACAAAAAGCCAACAGGAGCTTTGTCAGGTACAGAATCCTGAGAGGTCATGGGACAGAGCAGGGAAGAAGTGAGCCCAGGGAGCCCAACAAAGCACATGGAGATGATGGGCTTGAGGATGGACAGCGTGGAGGGCTGCCCAAACATCAAATGGATCTGTATCCATCAATACCTGCACGTTATTCACCCTGGCATTAGAATAACACAGCTCCACCTCCTCCCCCAGCTGCCTGCTCTCAAGTCCTTGCCCGTGTTTACATCATGCTCAGATGAGGCTGAGGCAGGACCCAGCCCAGGAAGGGGGACTCAAAATGGCTGCACAAAGAATAAAAGCAGCAAACTTTGGAAAATATTCATTATCACACGTCCTGGTAAAGCTGAAAGACTTTTTATAATGTTACCACACGATGGTTTAGGCTGGAAGAGACCTTGAAGGTCATCAAGTCCAACCATCGCCCCAGCACTGCCAGGTCCCCACTGCCCCGTGTCCGTCACACCACATCTCCACGGCTTGGAAACCCCTCCAGGAGTGGGGACTCCACCACTGCCCTGGGCAGCCTGGCACAGCCCTGGGCAACCCTCAAGGGCAAGAAATTGTTCCTCAGGGCCAACCTCAACACCCCCTGGCACAACTTGTGGCCATTGCCTCTTGTCCTGTCCCTTGTTCCTTGGGAGCAGAGCCCGACCGCCCCCGGCTCCAGGCTCCTGTCAGGAGCTGTGCAGAGCCAGAAGGTCTCCCCTGAGCCTCCTTTGCTCCAGGCTCAGCACCCCCAGCTCCCTCAGCTGCTCCTCACCACACTTGGGCTCTAGACCCTTCCCCAGCAGCTTCGTTGCCCTTCTCTGGCCACGCTCCAGCCCCTCAAGGTCCTCCTTGGAGTGAGAAACCCAAAACTGACCCCAGGATTCGAGGTGCAGCCTCCCCAGTGCTGAGCCCAGGGGGATGATCACTACACTAGTCCTGCTGCCATCTGCACCTGCTGCCATCTGCACCAACTGCCCAGGCCTATGTAAGCAAAAATAACGTAGTTTGTGGCTGTAGAAGTACAGAATTATCAAAAAAAAAAAAAAAAAAAAAAAAAAAAACAATAAAAGAGAAGATGCAGCTGGTCAGATAAGAAAAGAAACAGTCATTGAAATTGAGCTTGAGAGAAGTTTGGAGCAGAGGAACTTATGTGCTCTGTGTGACTAACCAGTCCCACAGAAATTATGTGATTAAAATTAAGCACATGCTGATTTAGCATCTCTTGGACCAACTCTTTGAAAGGTTGGATCCAAAACTGCTTGAAGAAGAGGTGGTAGATGCCCCATCCTTGGAAATATTCAAGGTCAGAGTTTATCTGAGCTAGAAAAGGGCTTGATCCAGTATATATTTTCTTCATTGGTTGGGATCATTCGCCTAATTATACCTAATTGCATAATTATTGTAAATACAGCAAATTGAATCCTGTACTCAGGCTGTGGGATCACAATGTGCAACGAGGATGATGCAAACTGAGGAAAAAAACTCTGCATCAAGGCTTTGGGTTTGAGAAGTTCAGGATTTCCAACTCTCCCACAGATGAGAACGTGCCTAATTAGATTTATTCTTTTTCCCCCATGGCACATAACTGACACTACTTGACTAATCCAACAAAATCTGTCTAAAGTTCAAGAATTTGTTTATATATCCTCAATTTTCTAGGTGCCTCTTGCTGGAAGGAAAAATCAGCCTTTTTTTTGGGTACAACACCTCAGATAATTGAATTGTATGACTACTTGTTTTCCTTTACACTTGATTTTCAGATTGATTCATTTGCACCTTCAAAGCAACCACCAAAAAATGCCACCCCAAACTCCTACCTCCTGGTGCTCTGCCAGATCCCCTCGACCCTTCAGCACATCTTTGGGACTCTTTGAGAAGCTGAACCAATCACACAGAGATGTCCACTGGACATTTATGGCTCTTGAACCTTTAATTCCATCTATTTCCTCTTCAAAACCTCTATCAGATCTTGTAGGCACATGGAGAAGATGCACTAATTCAACCTGACCTCCAATAAATGCTAAAGAGGTTGTGGATAAGCTTCCAACTATCAATACAACAATCTGATTTATTTATTAATTCAGCCCATTAGTCATTAATTCAGCCCAGACAGAAGTTCTAGGAAAAAATGCTCCTCAGAACCCAGAAATATAGATATCATTTTTAATATTAAATCTGATTTCATGTGACACATTTTATCAGATAATGTCCTTATTAGATGACAGGGATGGAAATTATCAGCATTTCTACACTGAAATCTAACCCAAAAAAAATCCCATGTCAAGGGATTCTCTCACTTTTTAATTAAAACATTAAAAATCTTCCAGCCTACACGTTCTAGTCTTAGGAAACGAGCCCCAGATTGGCTCAACTGGGCTTGTACATATTAAATTAAAAATAATCTCATCCCATTTAGGAGACCAATAACTTGGACTATGTAATCTAATTCTCCTCTTTGCAAGGGTCTGGGCTGCGTGTCCTTCTGTAAAACCCCAAACCACTGGAGGAATAGAAAGCTGTCAACTACAGTAAACAGGAAAAAAATTGGAGCTGCTCTCAAGTCATTAGCTGAAAATTATTTATGAAACTTGCAGGTTACTCTCTGCTTGGAAAACGAAATTACCAGGCAGCTTTCACCCCTGTCTTTACTGGTTATTGCTTGAGACTCTCCAAAACCATTTTTTCTCCTTTTTTTTCTTTATTTTCCCTTATTTTTTGCCAACACCACCACACGCTTTTGCCCATAGACAACAGAAAGTGCCACTTTTTCATTCTGAGACTCTGCAAATGTGCTGCTAATAAATTAATCTGATTTAATCTGACAAACCCTTTTGATAGCCCAGTTCTGCCTTCATGGCTCCGAGCAGGAAGACTTAAAAAAACCCACTTCTTGCCTTTTTTTGCCACCTCATCTTTTCAAGTGTGTAAACCTGCAACAAAACCCGAGATTCAAAGAAGTGAAAGGCAGGATAAAATAATAATAAAAAAAAAAACAACGCAGGGAGTTGCCATAGAGCTCAGACTTCTTGAAAAGCTTTTTTAAGCTGTAACTTCTGTGCAGAATCACTTCTCATTGTGTTGGAAAAGATGAGGAAATGGCAATGAAATCAGGGGTCTGGGCTTGCAGGGCCCAAGATTACTTCAAAGGGGCTCCTGCAGGCAGCTCTCCCTCTGCACCTTCCCACTGCTCCCTGTTTCATGGTTTTACAGACAATTAAATGACATATTTCATATTAGGAAGCCTGTGAGCAAAGTAAGGGGGAGTTCTGTGCCAGAGAGGGGTTCTCTGGGCAGTGACGAACGATGCAGTTGTTTTGGTTGGAAGGGACCTTTGAAATCTTCAAGTCCTGTCAGGTCCCCACTGCCCCATGTCCCTCACACCACCTCTCCATGGCTTGGAAACCCCTCCAGGGGTGGGGACACCACCACTGCCCTGAGCAGCATGGCACAGCCCTGGACAAACCTCCAGGGCAAGAAATTGTTCCTCAGATCCAACCTCAACACCCCCTGGCACAACTTGTGGCCATTGCCTCTTGTCCTGTTCCTTGGGAACCCCCCCCTGGCTCCAGGCTCCTGACAGGAGCTGTGCAGAGCCAGAAGGTCTCCCCTGAGCCTCCTTTGCTCCAGGCTCAGCACCCCCAGCTCCCTCAGCTGCTCCTCCCCACACTTGGGTTCTAGACCCTTCCCCAGCAGCTTCATTGCCCTTCTCTGGCCACACTCCAAGACCTCAAGGTCCTTCTTGGAAGGAGGGGCTCAAAACTCACCCACCCCACAAACCCATCAGCAATATGCAGACTGACCCAGTTACCAAAATTTGGAGCAAAAAGCCCAAAGAAGGAAAAAACCACCATTCTTTCATCCCTACCTGGGTAAAGAAGGGCTCGTAGATCTCCACCCCTTTGTCAGAGCCTTGCAGCAAGACCTCCTGGCCACGGCGCCAGCTGTAGCGGACGGGGGGGTTAGAGTTGGCCACACACCTGAGGAACACTGTCCTCTCATAGTAAAACTGCTCCTTTGCCTCCCCGATGCTCTGGTGGACTGTCACTACTGGGTCATCCAAATCTGGCAAGAGAGAGAAGGAAGATCCAAGTCAGGCTTCAGGGGACTCTACGATGCTTCTGAGATGGGAAGCGCCTTGGCTAGAAGTCAACCAGCCCACCAGCAAAACAAAGGCAGCACACAAAGCCAGGAATGCAAATTTTAGGACTTTTGCAGGAAAATTGAGTTGTAGAATTTGTTTTCATCTTGATTTACAAGCCAGGCTTTTGGATGCAACACCACGTGGGATGCCATGTTTGATAACGTCAAGCCCACTTCTCTTATGCTCCCACTAATACTTCATCATTTCCATCTGGTTTTCATCCTGACTTCTTGTTTCTTATGTAGGATTTTTAATTTAAACGTCTCTGAGACAAAATAGTTGAGAAAGCTTTGGAAATAAATAGACAGACTAATTTGCATCTTAATGGCAGGATCCACTGGAACGTTGCTCGTGTGCATGCAGCTGTTTTCCTTTAAAGCTGCAATTTAATACAGTAATTTAATGCATATTCCTGTCTTTGAGTTAAATGCATTTTACTTCAAGCAGGTAAATTCATCACAGGCTTTTGGAACACACTTCTCTTGATTAAAATACAGATATCATATAATTACTCCCACTGCATCAGCTCAAAGAAAATGAGATCGCCACAACAGAATTCACTCATCTTATACAGGGAAGAATGAACAATGGCCCATAGATTGTGAATACACCTAATTAATTAATTTGGGCTTTAGTCTACCAGGAACAAGGAGATTCCTGTTTGAGGGTGTTACTGCTGTTCATTAGGAGCTTTCTCTGGAGGTACAATTATATGGAAGAAGGGAAAAGAATGAAAGAAGGAAAGCAATGGTTATTTTTATAAATTACTTATTAAAACCATTCAGCCTCCAAATGAGGTGGTAAGGAACCCTCTGGTGAGCTTCAGGGAGAAGATACAGTGCATAGAGGGCTGGTGGCCTTGGGAAGTTCATGGAATCATGGAATAGTTTGGGTTGAAGGGACCTTTCTATGTCATCTCATCCAACCCCCTGCAGGGAGCAGGGACATCTGCAGCTAGAGCAGGGTGCTCAGAGCCCCGGCCAACCTCACCTGGGATGGTTCCAGGGATGGGGCAGCGACCCCCTCTCTGGGCAGCCTGGGCCAGGGGCTCACCACCCTCAGCATTCCAAATTTCTTCCTTCTCTCCAGTCTAAATCTCCCTCTGTTAGCTTTAAACCATCCCCCCATGTCCTGTCCCAACAGGCCCTGCTCAAAAGTCATCCCCAGCTTTCTTCCAGGCCCCTTTGAGGTGAGGCAGAGGCAGATGGGATTACTACAGGAAGCCCACCACTGGCAATCTGAACAGATTAACATGATTCAAACGTCCACACCAGAAAGCAATTTTCACCTAAAAATTATTCTTCAGAGACTTACGTTCTGATTTGCACGACAAGAATAAAACTTGAGAACCTCTTGTTTAATTAGAAACAAATCACGTTCCAAAAATTGGCATAATCCAAGCAATGATGTCTTGTAACAGGGCATGGATTTTAAGCTAAGTGTTATTTTCATTCTAGTCCACAAAACGTTTAATTTAATATCACAGAAACAAATTGTCAAATTGTGGCTCCAAATTAGGGTGGCATTTTCTAATGAGATTCCGTTTGTTGTTTGAAAGGTTATTTGAACTCACAGCAGCGTTTGAAAAGGGACCAGACTGCTGAAATTTGATGTCTCCTCATGCAGTAGAAAAGAAAAAAAAAGACTAAAATTAGCTGGCTGCCATTTCTAGGCCAAGACATTTGTCCCCTGGGTTCTGAGGAACAAGGGAACACATCACACATGAATTGTGCTTATTAAAGCACAGCCTTAGACCACCACCAAGGATGAAAGGCATCAAAAGCTTCCAACCCCAAGCCAGGGCACCTCTCTTCAAATCTCTCACCCTTAGATGGTTCCATCTTAAATGCATGAAGCCCAAGTCTTGACTCGCCTTCATCTTGATGAATTTAATCAAGACTAGAGAGACTAAATCTCCAAAAACCTAAAGACAGGACTTGAGGCAAGGTGGCAATCAACACCCCAGCTCGAGGCAGGCTGAGGATGACTGCCCAGGAGACATCCTTGTGGTCATAGAATCATAGACTATCTGGGCTGGAAGGGACCTCCAAAGGTCATCTAGTCCAACCCCCCCACCATAACCAGGGACATCTCCAACTAGATCAAGCTGCTCAGAGCTTCATCCAGCCCGATCTTGAATGTCCCCAGGGATGGGGCCTCCACCACCTGTCTGGGCAACCTATTCCAGTGGATAGTCAGGGAGTGGTCATGGTGGAGAAGCTGAAGAGGGCTCTGGCTACATCCTAGGCTGCAACAATAAGACTAGAAGCAGCAGGTCCATGCAAATGACACTTCCCCTGTAGCGTGCACCTGAGACAACACCCTGAGCACCCTGCCTGGGTCAAGACACGACCATACTGGAGCCAAAGTAGAGGAGACCATGATGATTGGAGGGCTAGAGCAGATGTCACATAAGCAGAGGTTGGATTTGCTCAGCCTGGAGAAGATAAGATGCAGGAGTGATGTAATCTCTGTCTTCAGCTGACTACTGGAAAGTTCTACAGAAGATGAAGGCAAACTTTTAGAACAGCAGAACAAGCCACCATGAGTCAACAAGTGTAAGCTGCACCATGAGAAATTCCTCCTCGTTGAAAGGGAAAACCAACTCCCTGTGAAACCTGAAAGGCTGCAAGATACCATCCTTGGAGACATCAAAGCTTGACTGAATATACAGCCCTGAGCAATCTAACCCAGGTTAGAGAGTTAGGGTTGCCTTTGACTTAGAGTAGTAGGTTGGACAAGAGGTCCCTCCTAACCTAAATTACTCTATGCTATCACGAGCTGTCATGGCCATTGTTTTCTTCTGCTACCTGCCCTCTTGCAACAGGTCCATGCTGGATGCATGCTCAACCCCTCCAAGATGACAGGGACAAGCAGGGAAGAATTTTGGTAAGAAACAGAATGGTTTGGGTTGGAAGGGACCTTCAAGATCATCTAATTCCCCTGGACAAGGACATCACCCATTAATCCTGGTTGCTCAAAGCTCCATCCAACCTGGCCTTGAACACCTCCAGGTGATGGAACACCCCCAAATTCCCTGGGCAACCTGTTCCTGCACCTCACCACGGTCAGAGTGAAGGAACTTCTTCCTAATTTCTAATCTCAATCTCCCCTCTTCCAGTTTGAAGCCATCACCCCTCATCCTACCATGGCAAGCCCTTGTAAAAAGTCCTCCCCAGCTTTCTGGATTTCGCTCAGGCAGTGTGAAAGCTGCAAATATGACATAAAATAAACTTTTGGAGAAAACTACCCAGATATTCTGCAGAGTTATTACTATGCAGGCACACAACTGTCTTTAGACAGGCTCTTGAAAAGTCATCTCATTGTGGTGGCATCGAGGCTCGCTGCTCAAAGCTCTCCAGATCTTTCAGGCTTTAACTGAATTGTCAGGAATTGAGCCTGGAATTGCCAAAATAGACTTAAAAAAAAAAAAAAAAAAAAAGAGGCAATTTAAAGCTTTGCACATATGTGTGAGTACCCGTGGGTGTTTGTTCCCTAGAGGCACTGGAACATTCAGAGACTCAGCAGGCTGGGAGTGAAGCTCTGGACTTCAGAGACTGCACACCAGTGAGACTCATAAAATCATGAAAGTGTTTTGGGTGGGAAGGGACCTTTCAAGGTCATCTTGTCCAACCAACACTGAGCAGGGACATCCCCAACTAGAGCAGGGTGCTCAGAGCCCCGGCCAACCTCACCTGGGATGGTTCCAGGGATGGGGCAGCGACCACCTCTCTGGGCAGCCTGGGCCAGGGGCTCAACACCCTCAGCATCCAAAAATCTCTTCCTTCTCTCTAGTCTAAATCTCCCTCTTTTAGTTTCAAACCAAATTCTCAGTTTGATGCAATTACAAAGAGTTAACCAACTAATCACTCTTTAACTCAAGCCCAAGTCACGGGTGTTGCAACCCAGTTCACTCTATTAATCAAAATGAAAATAATTACAGCAGTATGTTTCCCACAGAGGTTTATGCCACCATTAAGTTCAATTTTTCGGTCTTTAATCTTCATATTGAACCCAACCAGTTCCAGAACCCAGCTGGCACGGGCTACACAGGAAGAATTCCCTTCACCAAGCTCTCAAACAAACATAAACTTCAGGATGAGCTGCTCAGAATGGGTCCACCCCACCCCTGCAGCCCTCAGCTGAGCTCCAGGGGCTGGCACAGGGGTCACAGGGAGCAGGACCAGGGCTGTAGTTGGTAGAACCTCATTTTTCCAGCTCCTGGGACTACAAGGTGTGCTGATTTTTGTTCTTAATTAGCTGCCTTTTTCTTCAGATGTTCAAAGCAAGTCAGGATAAGAATAAAGCTGCATCTGGGAAACTGATTGGGGCTGCTTCCTCATGACAGCCAGAGAGGAGGCAGCAGTGATGGATATATTTAGCCTGTCTAACTTGTACATTATCCTTCACTTAAAAAGTTCCATGCAATTTTCCTTACTACACCCTCCTGACCTGGCACAAGGCACCGAGAATCAGGGAGGTTTGAAGTGCTCGTGGTACTGTGTGATGGTAGAAATTAGTCACATGTGATCCAGAAATCACAGAAATTCAACAGATTCCTCTTTCTTATGTAGCTATCAAAAGGACAATGAGCTGTCTTGTGTGTTGTGCATCAGCATGTGCCCTGAGGAGGCACAAGAGCTCCCAACCAGCTGGAAAGAGGAGAGCCAAGTCAACTGGAGCTCCACATCAGGTATTTTTCCCTCAACAGCCCTTTAAAAAAGATTTATTGCACATCTGCAGTGTTGTAATGTGTATGCAGATACAACACGAGGAGGGAAGCATCCTTGAGGAGATCCTCTAAGGAACCAAACCTTTCTTCCTTGCACCCACGAGACCAAAATTGTGACCCTGGGAGACCCCTGATGAGCCTTCATTGATCTCCAGAGCCATTTCTGGAAGATCAAACAGAAGCCAGAAG